GAGGAGGAGGAGGAAGAGGAAGAGGAGTTAGGAGGAGTTGTCCTGGGGGAGAGGAGAGATAGAGGGAGCGAGTAGGAAGAGTGGAGGGAGGGGAAACTTGTGGAGATGTAATGTGTGAAAGAAGCATAAAATTAAAAACAGATTGAAAAATAACAACATAATTTAAACATAGGGATGTAGATTCCATTCTCAGGAAAAAAATTCTTCTAAAAACAAAAGCAGAAAGACTTTTTCAACTAAATACATGCTGAAGGATTCAGTCATTAATAACCTAAAACTGAATGGTCAAGGAAGAGAATTACATCAAAGATTATCAGGTGACATCAAAATGAGGTTATATCAAGTTTTCAAGAAATTACAAAACAACATATAATATATTGCAATAAATGTATTGTTACGTATAATACAGTATTACATAATTATAAGATTGTAATGCTTTAAATTATGGTATCAAATATTACATTTAATATATACTTGCTCTATCTTAATGGTTGATAACTTATTATTGCCAACAACAGATTAGAATAAAGTTGACAATTTAAAACTGAACATATTTATTATGCTACTTGTGTTGGAGTTCAGGAATATAGGCCTGTTAGAGCTTGAGGCTCCTGCCCCGGATTTCACAGGCTGCTTTCACAATGGGAAGCTTGAACACAACATAATGGGCTTCCACACTCAAGCAGAGTTGTGGGAAAATTTATTTTCTTGCGGCTGTAGATTGGTTGAAGGTCCTGATGTTTGCTGGTTATTGGCTAGAGATCATCCTCGGCTCTGAGAAGTCATTCACTGTTCTTTGCTTAGGTGAACTTCCTCATTACATCTGTTTGTCTCAAACCAATAGAAGTAGCTCTTGCTTTAGAATTCTTATGCATAATGCTGTGTCTTATAATGCAAGGAAGTAATCATATTCCATCACCTTTCCGTTGCCAAATAGAATTACTTAGCCAGGGGTACGGCATCTGTTAACTTTGCAAATGCTGTTGACTACAAAGAACACTCCGTTCTCTTCCATCACAAAAAAGAAGGAATAATACAATTTGAGAATTACTGAGATACCACTCTAGGGTCTATCTTATTATTACTGGAAGACACCCACCTGCTTACAGAAATAGAGTGCCTTTAATTTTGCAAAGATTCATCCATCATTCTAATTAGGTCTTGGTAAACTTCCTGGGGAGCATCCTGTCCAAGGTAAAAATCCATATGATTGTAGTGTGGAATGTCCTTGTAGTAGATAAGGTTGGCAACTTTAGGGAGCAGATTTTTAGTGTCCTTATCATCTGCCACAATATCCTGTCCTCCACTCCACATTGCTGTTGGGACACGCATCTTAGTGATGTTGTATACAGGAGGTGTAAGCTAAAGGAAGTGGGAGGAAAGAAAGTGGGAGGGGGCAAGGAAAAGGGAGAACAACATTAGATGTTGAGCTAATTTTTCAGGTTGTTAATGATGTATAAACACAAATATTTTTTTATAGTCAGTTCTACATCGTTGTGAAAAAATATCATAGAATAACTCCTATAAATAAGAAAGACACGTCTGTACTCTTTCATAGATTGCAGTATTTGTTTGTATGCCTTGTTTGCTTTTAGGTCTGTTATGAGGCAGTGCATCATGACAGAAGCATCCAGCAGAGGAAAGCCTCCCTACCATGATATAGCCAGGAATCAAAGAAAATGTATTCACACAATAATGCATTATGGAAATAAAGAACAACCTTTATACTCCTGACTTGCACTTTGGGGCAGATACTTGAGGAAGAGTGTTTCTCTAAAATTCAGGGGTTTCTTTCTGATAAAAAAAAATGACCTGAGAGTATGTACATTTCAAGATAAACATTTCTCTCATATGCAGAAATCTGGGCTCAGTGGCTTTTTTTTGACACTTGTGTATCAGGAGGCTTTTCAGAGAGCATCTATACCAGTACATTAATGCCAACGCTTGAAGAATAATTAAAGGGATTGATCTGTACACAGAAAGAATGTGGTATAGTACTAAACTTGCAGCAAGCTTTCCCTTACACATTCCTCATCTCAATGATCTAGTACACACCTTGATCTAAATGGCCAAGTACCCCAGTTGGAGTACTTGGAGCAAGAAGACGCACCACAGTGACTCAGCAGCATCTGGGCACAGCTATAAAACTGGTCCAGACAATTTTCTGCCACATTGTTCTTTAGTTATGCAGAAAATGTGGTCTTCCTTTTGGTTTTGAAATGGCAAGAGCCATGTGAGCACTATTTCGGAAAGAGCAACAAGTGGAAATAGTCCCTGAGCCAAACTGAGCATGAGCTGCAAAGACAGGATGGAGAAGATCTGAAGATACTGTAGAAAACCAGAGTTTCTTTTTTTCCTAAAAGGGACTTAGTTTCTTCTACTTGCAAATGAATAACCACTGTAAATGGTTTCTGATTATCCACGAGGTAGAATGAAGTTTGTTCTCCTTCAAATCAAAAGTTGAGTCACTAATCTCTAATGTAAGCATAATTAAGGTTAAATGTTGTTTCAAACATTTATCTCCTTCTAACTCTACACAACAGTTGGTCATAAGAAAAAACTCTCCCTCCTTCCTTCCTTCCCTCATACCCTTCCTACTTTCCTCCCTCTCTCCCTCCCCTTCTTTCATTTTCAGTAACATACACAGAGTAAAGACCACATGAGCACACATTAAGAAGACAGCTATCTTCAAGCCAGAAAAAGAACCCTCATTATAGCTTTCATGGCATCTTTACCATGAGCACACTACTTCTCGTACTGAGGTAACACGATCAAAAGCAAAGACCTCAAGGACCCACAGAAGCTCTTTTAGCACAATACAAGGAGAATGTGTGTCTCAAGTTCTCTTCAAAAACTGATACTCAGGTCGATCTCACTTTTGTTGATGGGAGTGAGTGTGAGAGTCTATGTTTTCAAATGTTAAAAGTATATTATCTCTCTCATCTATCAGTGGGAGGTCTTGGAAAGTGGTAAAGGAAAATTAGCAGTTCTGATAGAGCAACACAGAAGGCAGAGAAGGAAGTGAATGCAGATTAGCCTGTGTAGTGTGTGAAGCAGGGAGGGGATGTAGAAGGATCCAGAAAGCCTAGAACTGTGTCCCACATGTAAAGAGTAACTAGGGAAAGAATGGAGCTGGTTTTTCTGATTGGGGTTTTCTTAGTAGCAACATACAAACGACAAATACTTAGCTGCCAAAATAAAGCTTAACAAAGTTCGAAGAAAACCAAAGCAACATGAAAACATCAACAGACACAGGCAAGCTTTCAGGATCAAAGTCAGTCCAACATCCCTGAAGCTTGAATTCCATTACTCCAGTGACACTATTACTCTGCTAAGAACTTAGGCATTGAGAAGATGACAAATCAAAAATAAATGTTAAAATTCATCTTTAAATGATATCTGGTAACTTCTTCCAGGACTTCTTAGCTAATATTTAAGTTAATAGTGAGAAATCATAAATTATTTAGACATCATACTTCCTTAGCAATGTAGGATTCCTAGTGATTTATGTCAGTAATTAAACCAATAGAATTTATGGTGTCATTAAGTGTAGTTATAACTAAGGCTACTGCCTTTTAAATATGCAGAGTTCATCTTCTGTTTGGGTCTCCACCAAAAGTTTCAAGTAAGGGACCATATCTGAACCTCACTCACCATGTATGCATAATTTTCCTTCCATTTGTAAATACAGAAGTGAACTTGATAGCTCTGACCCCACTTTCATCCAAGGTTCCTAGCTCATAAGATGAGGTCAGCATCTAAAATGCTCTTCCTAAAGCAACCATAAACTTGGTGGATCAAGAAAGACAGTCATTAACAGAGAAAAGTGTTGTTCTTTGTGTGTCTGGTATCTGCTCCTGTACCAAACCCATGCAAATTCCACTATAGCAGTTGGGAGGACCACTTTTTTGAAACATTAAAAATATTTCAAAACATTAAAAATATTAATTTCTCTATTTGAATTATTTATTCTCTGAAGTTTTGAATAGATGATGACAACGTTTTATGTTTTAGCTCAGTCAGCCATCAGGCAGCCAAATCAATGATTGTGTTGCCCAACATAATTAGAAAAAAGTTAACAGTAACCAAGAAAACATGCAGTTTTTAGTGTAAGGTATTCACTAAATTCACCATTTAGAAGACACCAATAGAAGATGTCAAGAAATATCTTAATATTATGTTACCCACCCTATAGTGCCAGTTCTCCTTAAAGATGGCATTATCTGATTGGTGTATCTTAAAATCCATATATTGGGTTTTTAGTTTTTAAAATATTTTATTGGATATTTTCTTTATATATATTTCAGATGTTATCCCCTTTCCCGGTCGCACCTCACCCCAGAAACCTCTTATCTCATCCCCTTTCCCTCTGCTTCTATGAGGGTGTTCCCTCACTTACCGGGCCACCCACCCACTCACTCCCACTTCCCTGCCCTCGAATTCCCCTACACTGGGACATTGAGCCTTCCCAGGGTCTCTCCTCACATTGATGTCTGACAAGGCTATCTTCTGTTACATATGTAGCTGGAGCCATGGGTCCCTCCATGTGTACTCCTCGGTTTTTTAAAGTAATGAAGCTCATCATAAGGAACTGTTAGAACAATGCTAGTTTTATTAGATAAAACCTGTTTTAGAAATGGGGGTCATGTTTCTAAATTCTACCTGATGTTATAGTGTGCTTACAGACATGAGTCTAGCATGGCTGTCCTCTAAGAGGCCCAACAGCTGACTTAGACTCAGATACTTACACCCAGCCAATGGCCTAAAGTTGGGAACTTCTGTGATTGAATTAAAGAAAGGCTGGAAAGGAGGAAGGCAACCTCATAAGAAGACCAGCAGTCTCAACTATCCTGGACCCCTGAGATCTCTCAGACACTGAGCCACCAACCAGGCAGCATACAAGAGCTGGTTGGAGGCCCTTAACATATGTACAGCAGGGGACTGCCTGCAATGACCTCGGTGGGAGAAGACAAAAGCCTAACCTTTGAGAGACTTAAGGCCCCAGAGAGTGGGGAGGCCTGGAAAGGGTAGTGTGTGTGTGTGTGTGTGTGTGTGTGTGTGTGTGTGTGTGTATCCTCTCAGAGATAGGGAGGAGGAGGAATGGGATGATGAGCTGTGGGAGGGCAGACCAGGAGCAAGGTAATGACTCAATTGTAAAAAACAAAAAACAAAAAAAACAAAAAAAAGAAAAAGTAATTTAAAAATTAAAAAAAACAGTGTTGATGAAGTATTAAGAGTACTTGTATTGTTTTGTTTTGTTTTCCTGCAAAGGAATGAATAGTGAAAGAAAAAATAGAGAAGTACATTTGAGATCCAGAAATCCACGGGCCATTGTCTAGTTATTTGGCAATGTACTTCCTTAAGTCTCTAGTAAAATGAGGGCAATAAAATGTACCCCAAATGACCATTGGGAGGATTAGAAACAATGACTCAGCTCTGGTAAGACCCAGGAGGCAACACATGCCAGCAGCAATGAGCGTGCCTGTCAAAGCGGGGAGGGGGGGAATAGCATATAAATATTCGAGAGGAGGCTGTTCTCACAGGGTCACTTCAGGGTGCCACTGACTGAGATCAGCATTGGTATTAGTTACCTGGTTAAAGTGCATCATGTTCTGGTCAGGATTGCCCCAGTCAAAAGCTTGGAGTTGACCAGAATTGACAGTCTGAGATAAAACACAAATAAAAATAAAACACATTAATATGACATAAGAAGACAATGTGCATTTAAAATTAGTGAGCAAGAAATACACAGAGAAAGCTGCTATCATCTCCACTCATCAGAACATTAATCAAATAACAAAAGTGGGTACTGCTTCATGGAACCTATAGAACCTATTAGGCCCTGCCCCAAATATATCTTTTCAGTGAAAATCTGCAGATAACGATACTATCAAATGCTACATTACACATCGGATTTCAGGAATTTATATCTGCATATGTTTATAGAAATTTTGGCCGTAATTTCCAACACTAAAAATAAGTATGGCTGTTATTAAACAACTTGCCACTTTACTATCTACCGGCAAGTGCTATCATGAGTGTATTCCCTATTTATTAAACATGCTTATCATTATTAGGAGACTATTCAGCAAATGTGGACTGCTTGACACTTCTGGGCAGGACCAAGCAATGTGTCATGCTGTGAGCAATATCTGTGAGCTAAGCTCTGGAGGCAGTGGGATTGGCTGCCTTTACATCTTGGTATTCAGACTTCAAATATATGAGTAGAAGTATTCAGACAATTACACTTTCCTTGATTCTGTTATTTGCCACCTGTTGCCCCTGTTGAATTAAGGAGGGAGATAAATCCACATTTATATGAAGCACTAAATTTAATTATCTTCAGAAGAATTCCTTTTCCTTATGTTGTCTCCACTCATAGTTTTAATCATTTTACTTTATAATTTTTACTTCCATAACATTATATATGTATATATACATATTATACATATAATAGTATAAATACTATAGTGTACTATAGCAGTATTATATTTGCTATAAATGTCATATGTATAGTTATGAAATACACACACACACACAAACATATATATATGGTGTATGTGTTATTAAATCCTGTCTCAAAAAACAAAAAACAAAAAAAAAATTTCCACACATTTTAAGCAGTGTGAGGCAACAGAGTGGTTTTGTTTTTTTTTTTAGAATTTTAGAGTCCTGGAATCTAATAAGATTCTTTATCCCCAGGCTTGAATCATGACCCAATCTCTTATATAGGGCAAGATATCTGTGAGGTGTGAAAGAAGGCTACATCTGCCTGGACTGTAAGATTAACTAGGAAGATGTATATAAGTCACTCAGTCCCTGGCAATGTGCAACAGAACACTTTTTACTGACTCACTACAAATCAAGTATGTTTTGGTTTAAAATGCTTGGGACCAGTTGTGTTCTTAATTTCACAGTCTTAATATAAAAGATTTTATATATATATATATATATATATATATATATATATATATATATATAATTTTGGAATATTTACATGAATTTTATCAACTGAGCATGACTAATTTGAAAACCCCCAATCCAACCTGCTCCAGAATCTAAGATTTTTCAATGTAAGTGATGGATTAGAGATATTCAACCAGTGCTTTAGAGAGGTGAGCATCATCACCCTTGCTTTCACTGTCTGGATATAGTTGAAACAAATGCTCTATCCCCATCATTAGTCATTCCTTATTTTTGCAAAAGTCAAGAGACTCTGAGAGACAGAGAGAGAGAGAGAGAGAGAGAGAGAGAGAGAGAGAGAGAGAGAAGCAAAAGGCGTCAGCTGCAACATTTGTAGAATGAGATGCAACTGCCTTAAGGGAAACATTTTCAAAAGAATCCAGCAAGATGAAGGAAATCGTGTATGAAGAGCAAGAAGAGCATACAGTAAGTGCTCAAGAACTGTGAACTTGGGTTTTCTGAGAGAACAGGACCCCATGGGTTGTACCCATGTCCTCATCAGTAGCAGACCAGCCTTTACTCACAGGAACGCAAAGTCTATCTCCATAAGCTTTGCAGAAATCGCCAGTGTTTTTCATACTACCTGTAATTGATTCCCACTTTCACCTTTAAAGTGGGTCATACCTTAATACCTGCAGGTAATTAAAATGGTATAAAAGGAAAAAGGAGGAGGGGCGAAGGGATGGGGGTTTCTAGGGAGGGGAAATAGGGAAAGGGGATGACATCTGAAGTGTAAATAAATTAAAAATGAAAAAAATAAAGTAGGTCATAAGATATTAGTATATATGTTAAAATGCAAATTACTCTCTCATTCCCTCTCATATACAGATAGATGGGATTATGCTAATTTTGTTTAACTTTAAAGTGATGGGACTGAAATTATTGATAAAAAATAAAAATTACTGATAAAGACAATGTTACATAAAAGAATTAATATACAGTCATACACATGCTCAGAAAGTTATGCAACTTAATTGAACCCAATTTATCTTGAGCTTACCTGATATTGAGTAATCTTATCAAATGAAATTGTAACTACAAACTATTCCTCTATTTTAATCCCTCCCTAGAATTTCATTTGTTCAGAACAAATCACTCTTTCTGCACTCCGAAATGCCCCATGGGCTAACTGGAAGATGAACAGGTCTTTCTGGAATATGCTGTATTGTTTTACATAAAGTTGTTTCAAACGTAATGATATCCCAGAAGAAGAAATAAAAGCCTTCCCCAAACAGGTTAAGGAAGGAGCCTAAGGACAGGAACTCAGTTAGAATACATGGGAATCAGGCTCTAAACCTGGGCACTGAAGACAAGGAGAATAGATTGGGAGCAAAGGTAATCAAAAGGAGGAGTCTTCGGTGTTGATTCTGGAAGCATCTCCATGCTAGATAGGTCCATGCACAACCTGCATGGAGCTCTCTGGTACTACAAGAGAGAGAAGGGCGGTGGGAGGGAGGGAGGGAGGGAGGGAGGGAGGGAGGGAGAGACAGAGAGAGAGAGTAAGAGTAAGAGTACCTGGGCCCAGTGCAGCATGTTCTGAACCGATGTTCCTGCAGGACTCTGTGCCATATAAACATCCAAGCGACTCTGTAAAGAGATTATTTCTCATCTTGAGGCTACTCATAACACATGAATAGACATAACAATTATTATTTTTAGGGAAAACATATTCTTCATCTCTGTGGAAATATTAACCAAAGAACCTATCACTAGAATACTCTCCTCCATGGCTTGTTTCTGTCCTGGATAGTGGTTCCCTTCAGTTCACAGAGGGTATCTAACTAGCTGAATGCAGAAGGCTATGTAACTTTTCCTTTTGGACTCATACAGACACAGTGTTAAAAACTACAATGGGCCTCTTCTTTATATATAAGGACATTGAAATTTATATAAATTTACATAAAATTTATATAAAATTTATATAAAAGGACATTGAAATAAAGCTTCAAGGGGTTGGAGGAATGACTCAGTGGTTAAGAGCACTGACTGCTCTTGCTGAGGATGTAGGTTCAATTCCCAGCACCCAAATGATAGCTCACAACTGTGTATAATGCCAGTCCCAGGGGGATCTGGTGTCCTCTTCTAGCCTCTCCAAACACATGGTGCACAAGGTACCAAACATACACATAAATGAAAATATATAAATATGAAAAAATAAATTGAAAGCTTTGTTCACAAAGCATTTTGGTAACAACGTGTTTCAAGTCATTACTAGATTTTAAAAATGGATCAAATATTTTGTGAATCCTTTGGTATTTGTAGGATGAAAGTCCTCTAATATAGCTAGACTTATTCCAGATAAGATATTTCCTTTCATACTTTTGAGTTCATTTTTAAATATAAAAATTACTTTTCTACCAGTGTGAGCATTAAAAAAATTTAAACAGTTTTCAAAAATACATCTATTTATGATTAATCCAAAGCTACTGAAAAAAAGCAAAAATCATAAATTGAATTCATAACATTGGGATAAGAAGTAGTAGTTATTATTTTGAAGTTCCACAAAACTGCAGTGTGTACAACTAACACTGTGTGTGTGCTCTGTTCTTCCTGATGTTACAATATCCTATAATCTAGTCCTTAGTCAACAGTCAAAAAAGGATTTGGCCAAATATGGCCTCTATAGTCAGGGGTATTTTTTTATTAACTCTTTATCAGACATTTGGGCCAACTTGCTTAGCTCAGCCTATGTGACATGTTTTAATCTACATGACATTCTTAGATCCCTAGATTAGCAAGCACAGTTCCACTGGAGAATTGACTTGAGAATATGGAAAGGCAGTGGTTCAGACATACTTTACATAAAACAAGCCTTTTATAAAAATCCTAGACCCTGACAAGCAGCCCCGTAATCATAAATACTCAGGAGGCTGAGACGGAAGTATGATGAATTCAAGGCTCAACTGGGCTACATAGTGAGTTCAAGGCCAGCCTGGGCAACTTAGAGAGAACCTCCTATCTACAAAATATAGAGAAAACAGACTCTTGGCAGCAGTCTATCAGATAGATGGAGACCATCTTCTGCTGTGTGGTACCTCTGGTTTCAAACAGTCCATGTCTAGCTGGAATGTGAAGAGTAACTGCTGAACTTTCCCTTCTTTGCCCATCAAATTAGCTACTTATATTCTGAAAGGAAAGGAGACCAGATATGCTAGAAAAAGGAAGAGTAACCACTCAACTCAGCACCCTTAATGCTAAGCTTGTAGCTGTTACTGAAAAGACAAATTATCTCTTTCAGTTAGTGGAGGGGTGATAAGAATTTCCAAATTGCTCATGGATGTGGAATATTTATTTTTAAAAAACCCATGCAAATTGCAGATTCTGGAATAACTCCCTGAGATTCCACTTTAGCAGGTCTGAAATAAACAGAATTCTAATGAATATAATGAGATTTTTTATTGGTGTAACTTTAGCCACAGCAAGAATTTGAAGCTATGTGAGCAAGCCATTTTTTTCCAGTTGTTTTTATATATGGTAGTCAACTCTCAATCCTGACCAGAGCCATGAAGACGCTAACTACACTTCAAAAGACAAAACAGAAGCCATCTAATATGGTTTACATAAAATCCAAAGTGAACTCTCAACTCTTTTACAACAAAATCTTTGGTTTTCAGGAAGTGATTATTTATACCTACCATGTTTAAGTTTTGGGGATCAAATCCACTTAGAGAAAACAGTAAGTTGCTGCATATCTGACGGAATAACTTTCGGTTGCACACTTTGGTAGCAATGAATTGTTCAAGCCACGTATGAGTGGAGAACATTTTGTCACCAAACAATACCTGAAAGATGGGCGTAGAACATCACTAAATGCCATAGTTAATGAATGTCAGGAGCAGAGAACCTTTGTCCATCCAGGCAAGGACCGCATGGGCAGTAACAGTACTGGTCCTGTGTGAAACCACAAGGCTTGTGAAATTTTATCTTTGTAATACTCCTACTGCCCTGAAAGTTTTCATGAGACTCATTCATTGGGATGTTTTGGGCATGTTCACTTAGAGAATAGCCTGCACAGAGATTGGTAAAACATTTCTACATGGTTTTAGATTCTCCTTCTTATAACCGGAGAAGAATTTAGTCCTTGTTTGTCTAAATTTTTATAACTGTAAAATGGAAAAATTGTCACCTCCTAAGCAGAATCAGTGTAAAGGTGATAGTTTGTATTTGAAGACTATCTAATGAAGTTCTTAGAAACTAGCAAATAGTTTCAGAACAATACATTTGACCTAAGTGGTAACTGAGACAGGCAGCCAGGTTTTCCCTTCACGATCCTTTACTGCAGTCTCAGAAACAAAAGCTTCATCCCAAGCACTGCACCTATACTGATGAAATTTCAGGCAAGGACTCAAATATGTTGAAAACATCTTTTGAATTCTAAAAATCTATCACATTACAACATGAAAAAATATTGAATCCTCATGTATATTCATCAAATCTTGCTTTAATTTCATCAGAGTGAATTTCATATTATTGGCGTAACAAGTTACAGGGGAGGTGAAAGATCACGTTTTTTCTTAGAAGTTTCAGAAACAACCATTTACTATAAAAATTGTCACAGATTTTTTTCTGAACTCTTTTATTAACTGACCATTATGACAACAACTAAACAAGAATAATGCATGTTTATTTTTATTGCAGGAATGCACTATAAGCTTTTATCCTTTCTTTGGTAAACTAGAGCCAGTAAATTCCTATGTGGCATAACTTACTTTGGTTCTGAATTTGAAGATATTTTGTATTATAGAATTGGAAGGAATTCCTGTTTAGTAAAACATTTACTAATCTATGAAACTTTATATATATATATATATATATATATATATATATATATATATCTCACCATGATTTAATTAGCATACGTTTTCTATCAAAAATGAAGAAAACAGAGAAAAGGAAAAAGAGAAGAGAAGTAGGAGAGATGAGGAGAGGAGAGAGAAAGCGTAATAAGATGGGGGAAGTAGGAATAAGAGGAAGAGGGGAATGCGGGGAAAAATGACATTCAATTAAGTTCAAGCTTCTCAATTCTGCAGGTCAGAAAGCAATAATAGGTCATTGAAAAAGTCAGCTAATTTATTCAGCCCTGTTCTTCATTTTGTCCTAATTACTAAAAAATTCTAGCAATTACTCTACTCATCAAACTGTAACTCTATGTAACTGTCCCCGTTGTAATTTAATAATCATGGCAACATGTAATCACACTGTGAACTTATGCTTCTAAAGAATACTGACACCTATTCAGTGTTCTATGTGTGGAAACCTAAATTCCCGTGGGAATAAGTCATTCAACTACAAAGCATATCTAATCTGATTAACTTCATGCTTTTACTTTCTGTTTATCAATACTATTTCCATACAGTCCATACCTGGGGAAAATGCACATGACATGAAGCAGCCAGTATGTTCATATAGTCAGCTACAAAAATACATTAATAAAGAGGCCATGTTTACGTCACAGGCCCTTGTTCTTTGTTCTGATAGTCAGCTTTCCCAAATGCAGGGAGAAACAGCGTGGGAGTCTCAAGTTCACTCCACTCCTGTGTCCATCACTATACATTACCCAAGGACAAAGAGTTACCCCATCATCCTGACCTAAGGAGAGTGGAGTATAGCAGTGCTGAAGTTCAGGGCTCCTTTAAAGAGGGTCACATTACTGTGCACAGGCAATCAGCTTGTTCCTGGACAGAGCATGTTTGTCACATGGTAATAGGCACACAGGTTCCTGTAAGAACCTTTGTATCTTTTTGAGAATTGAGCCATTTTTGTTTTGTTGAAAAAAAAAGACACCTCTCCATTTTGTGGCTGTGAGCAAAACAGATATGATGCTTCTTTATGTAATTTCAATGATTCTACCAGCTTGACAAGTGCTACACACTGTATTAATATGAATATATGGCTTGCCTAACAGAACATTGGTTGCATTACTTTTCCAATGATCTACTCAGCTGGGAAAGTATCTATGCCTGGGTTTTTCTGTCTGACATTGAAAATGTCATGAAGCTAGGTTTGGCAAGGTATGCCTATGTTTCCTACACCTCGGAGGCAGAGGCAGAGGCAAGAGGATTGCCACAGATCAGATGCCTGATTTGTATAGCAAGTTTAAAGCTAGATAGGTCCACACAAAACACTACTACCATCCAAACAGCAGGGAAACCCACTACACACAACCAAAACCATCACTTTCTTTTAGTTGCCCAATAATAGTAATATTGAGGTTTAGCTTTAGCACCCATTCACAGAATGATCTGAGAAAGGTTGCTCCACTTATCTGAGTCCCAAGCTTTTATTTTTAAGAAACAAAAATAATAACAATTGAGTAAATCAGAGAAAGTTAAAAGTAAAGGCTCAGTGTAACCTGCAGATTAAAAAGCAAGTAGAGAGATAACAATACAAAGAAATAAATGCCCAGAGGAAGGGAGGAGAGTGGAAGGGAACAACAGTAAACAAACACCAAGTGCTCTGCACTGAACTCTAAAATAAGCTTGATTAATATGTTAACAATCTTATGCAATGTGTGTTGCTCATGTTATTGACCAGGAATGATGCTTACCTACATTATCTCAATGAATATCGCAGTGTGGCAAGTTCTATATAAATTTGAAAAAGCACAGTTTAGGAGGATTGAATAGCTTACCCACAGTCATAAATTCATGAGGCAGATACACAACAAGAGCCTAATTCTATGTGACTCTATCCTTAGACCTGTCCTTAAGTGGATTGAACTAAATTTAATAAGAACAATGGAACAATTCCAAGAGCAAGTGCTGACAATAAGTCAGTATACAGAACATTTTCCAAATCAGATCGTATGGTAGGTACAACTAAAACCTCTATGAATCTTTAAAAGTTAAAAATCCTGGGCTGGAGAGATGGCTCAGTGCTTATTAGCACTTGCTGCTCTTGTGAAGCACCTGTGTTTGTTTCCCAGCACCGACACCTACAAACAACAAGATGCCCAACACTTAGACCCTAGAAGAAATGAGTGAGTTCATTGATACATATGCCTAGCCAATACAGAATAATAAATAGAAACCTGAATGGGTTAATAAAAGTTAATAATAATGAACTGATAAAGAACAATCTTTCTCATCAAAGAAAAGCTCATGGACAGTGGCATCATTGTTGAATGCATCTAAGCAATTTTAGAAGAATTAATACCAAAATCTCTAAAAGCATTCAAATTGAAAAAGAAGGAGGTCTTCCAAATTTATTCTGTGAAGCCAATACTATCATGACACCCAAACAAGGAAACAACAAAATCAGAAAATTACAGATAAATATCTCTGATGAAAAGATAATAATATGCCTAATACAAAACCCTGTATATCAAATATAACATAAGGAAAAGATGATTTATTCCAATAAACTATCATTCATCAAAATTAGCAAGAGTCAAAATATGCAAATGAAAAGGTATGATGTGACAGATTAACAGGATGGAAGACAGCAGCAGCAGCAGCAGCAGCAGCAGCAACAACAACAGAAATAATAACACCAAACAGTCATATTGGTCTGGTGAGATATTTCAGCAGGTAAGGGCACTTGTTTAAGCCTGGTGATCTGAATTTGATCCCTGGAACACATGTCATATTGGAAGAAGAGAACCAACCCACACACAGTTCATGTCATACATCCCCTTCTAATAATAAATTACAACAGCATGTTATCACCTGACTAGATCCAGTAATTTTTGGACATACTTAAACATTCTTTCATGATAAAAACTATGAACAAATTATCATGAGAGGGATGTATGTCCAACATAATCAAATCAACACACAATTACCCCACAGCTAGCATCATCGTAAATGAGGAAACCTACAAGCTCTCTAGGATCGGAAACAAGATGATTGTCTACTGTCATCACGATATATAAACCAGGACTGAAAGTCCTCAACAGAGCAATAAGGCATGGCGAAGAAGCAAAGGGCGTCATCTATCTACTTACTATCCATCTCCTGAACTCAAATTCATTCTGTAGCCAAGGTTGGCCTTAAACTTACCATCCCCCTGCCTCACAGTCCAGACTTCTGAGGTCATACCTGATCATTTCTACAACTTTGAAAGAGGAAATTCAACTTGTCATCATTTGCATATGGTATGATCATATGTATAGAAAATATCACAGACTGCCACAAAACTAAGTCAGATGAAGATATTCACACCCAATCAATGGACAGAAGCTGCTGACCCCTGTGGCTGAATTAGGGAAAAGCTGAAAGAAGCTGAGAAAAAGAGTGACCTTAGAGGAAGACCAGCAGTCTCAACTAACCTGGATCCCTGTGATCTCTCAGACACTGAGCCAACAACCAGGCAGCATACACCAGCAGATATGAGGCCCCCAACACATATACAGCAGTGGACTGCCAGGTCTGGACTCAGACAAGATGCACTTAACCCTTGGGAGACCTGGAGCCCCAGGGAATAGGGAGGTCTGGTAGGGTGGGGAGGGTGAGGACATTCTCTTGGAGACAGTGGTGGGGGGTGGGGGAGGAGGTATGGGATGTGGAACAGTCAGAGGGTGGACCAGGAGGGGAATAAAGTCTGAACTGTAAAAAAAAATTAAAAATAATAAAAACGAAAGAAGGAAAGAAAAACTATTAGTGCTAATAAATGAACTCGACATAAAATCAATGTGTGGACATCAGTAGCTTTTCTACATTCTAGTAAAAATTATTCTAAAAAGGAAATAAAGAAAGCAGTCTCATTTAGGATAGCTATAAAAATAAAATATCTTAGAATATACTAACTAGCAGGAAAAACTTTCTACAATGAAACACGTAAAGCAGATAAAAAGCAATCAAAGAGGACATAAAAACTAGACATGCCATTTGCACATATTAAAAGACCCTATTAAAAATAATTGATATGTAATCCTTATCAAAATAACCATCCTATTTTCATAGAAAACTAAAAACATCCCAGAGTTCATATGGAAACCTGAACAGTTAAACAGCTAGAACAATATTGAGAGAAAAAACAAGTTGGAGACATACTACCTGATTTGGGGATGTTATACAAAGCCACATGAATAGTGATGTCATGGCCTTGAGATAACAAACTCACAGGCCAATGGGAGAGAATCTGGAGAGACTAGAAATAACACCACATGTGACAGCCATATGGCCTAGGAACACTCACTGGGAAAGAGCAGTCTTTTTAATAAGTCATGATGCAAAGACTGGATGTTCACGTGCAGGAAACAGAAGCTAGTTCTCTTACTGTACAGAAAAATTAACTGAAAACAGATAAAGTGTGCATGCAAACCCCAAAACTCTCAGAAGAAAGTGTAGGAAACATGTTTTAGGAAGTTAGAATTAACAAAGGATTTAAAAATAAGATCCCCACATCACTGGAAACTGTGGTGGTTTGAATATGCTTGGCCCAGGGAGTGGCACTGTTGGGGGTGTGGCCTTGTAGTAGGTGCAGCCTTGTTGGAAGTGTGTCACCGTGGGCATGGTCTTTAAGACCGTTTCCTAGATGCCTGGAAGCCAGTCTTCTTATGTCTGCTTTTAGATGAAGATATAGAACTCTCAGCCCCTCCAGCCCCACATTTGTCTGGATGCTCCCATGCTCCTGCCTTGATGATAATAAACTGAACCTCTGAACCTGTAGTCAGAGTTGCCTTGGTAATGATGTCTGTTCACAGCAGTAAAACTCTGACTAATACAGAAACAAAACCAAAAGTAGTTAAATAGGATTTTATAAAACTAAGAGGCTTCTGAATAGCAAAGGTAACAACAAATGGCCACATAGAAAGGGAGAAAATATTTGTAAATTACACATCTGATGTGGTTGACAATCAAAATATACCAGGGATTCAGCTTAGTGACATAAAAAATGCAATTAAATGTGGCATAGTATTACATAGATGTTTCTCAAAAAAAAAAAAGGGTGTATAAGCAATCTTCAAATGCATGCAAAAGAAATGCTTGGCCATCACCAGCAAAACACTTCTCAAAACCATGGGGAGTTACTTCACTCTACTTAGAAAACCCTTTATCAAAGTGCTGCACATGACAGGTACTGAAGATGTGGGAAAGAGGAACTGAAGTTGGAACCGGAATAGGATTCTTCAGAAATACCAAGTTAGGTCTCACTTTAGCTGTGATTGGGAGGTAATGCTGGAGAGATGTTCTGATAAAGACCCTAGAGCAGGAGGCATCAGGACAAGTTTCCCGAGCTCACTGATAGGACAGGTCATCAGCAGACCTCCATGGAACCTTAATCACCATTTCCACCACTAACTGTTTTAAAGATGCCACATGTTTTCTCTTGGTATCTGTGGAAACAGGGAGATTTACAGTTCCTCCCACTTTAGAGGAATTCACATACCTTGACAGCTTTCCTGGAAAGGGAGGTTAATTTTTTCATTGGGCTTCGAGTATATTTTACTGTGACCACTGGAGCTAGTGCGAAAAACAGCCTAATCTTTTTAGCCAGCTCTGGATTTGTAGAGAATGCTATGAACGCTGCAGGGAAAGAAGACATTAGCTCACACAGACTTCCAATTATCTGGTCATTGCAAATCCTTATAAAGTTAGCTATATTGAAAACAAAACGAACTGTGAAGATTATTTATGGGGAGGAATTTTTAAAATTTTCAAGGGTACAACTGGCTCTTTCTTGTGTTCTTGCAGGGAGGTTCAGTGACATTACATAGAGAATACGTGTTAAACACAAGGGATCATATTGGCTTTAGTCTTGGTGTAATATAAAGCCAAGCTATCATCTTGACTTCTAAATCAGTAGCTTCTAGCTCAATACATTACCTCCTTTTATGAGTCTGAGTTTCTTAAATATGAGGATAGCAATCTACAGAGAATGTTCTATGTGCATATGCAATTACATACACATGTACATATATATATATATATACTTTCATATACATTAAAATATTATACAGACAAATACATAAAAATGAATCTTAAAGTGCTACTTGATATTTTTATCCTTTGGGAAAATTTCCTGAATATGATAATTGAAGAACTATGGGTATTGTAGTCTCAGATATTTGCATTTTTCAACAGGAAGAAAGCAGTGAGAGCCCCGAGATGCCTTGCGGCTCTATCATCATGCTCTCCAGCTTGATTCATGGTCTTGATAACAAGAAAAGCCTCACTGATTGTAGCATATAATCAGTCTCATAATTCCGTGGTTTTGCTTCAGTGTCCTCTTTTCTTTTTCTTTTATTTTTTTTAAGATTTATTTATTAGTATACAGTTTTCTACATGCATGCATGCTGCACGCCAGAAGAGGGCACCAGATTTCATTACAGATGATTATGAGCCACCATGTGGTTTCTGGGAATTGAACTCAGGACCTCTGGAAGAGCAGTCTGTGCTCTTAACCTCTGAGCCATCTATCTCTCTACCCCAATGCCCTTCTCTTGACTGTGAGAAACTCAAGGGGAAAATGTTTATCTTTGTTTCCTCAGAAAATAATCTGGGGTCTTAGTGTTTTCTGAGAGCACAAACTAAGTTCTATCAATCTCCAAATTCAGTGTTGGGGACAAATTTCTCATAGTCATTCTTGCTTTATTTACTCTTCAGAACCTACCTAGAGGAAATGCTTTTTCAAAGTCATGAAACTAAAAACTATACAGAAAACCAACCAACCAACCAACCAACAACCACCTGACCCTTTCCACAAACACAGGAGAAAATACTTGGCATTGTCTGATTTCATCCAGCCCAAACACACCTATGGTGGTTCCCTGCGAGTGGCCCACATAGAAGAGTTGCTTCTGTCCACTTTTCTCTAAGATCAGATTGATTGTAGCTGGAAGATCATATTTAGCCATCTCATCCAAGCTACCAGAAAAAAAGGAACGATAAAATTAGAAAGGAGGATCTGTAGTTGTTAGACCCGCAGTGTTTGCAAACAGTCCCTGCAGACGTTGATACTCAGCTTTGGCTCTACATGAGGGAGAGTGACAACATTGTGTGTCTGAACAGCTTCCCATGTTGCCATCTTCCCAGTCAGGAAACTTGAGTCTGATGGAACACCTACTGTTAATTTTCTGCTAGGCTCAGTCATGTTCCATTTATCCCAGAGATATAGGAAATATTACTTGAGTTCCAGAAAGAACACAGAAATGAGGCAGTGAAACCAGTAGCCTTAGTGATCTCAGTGGCATGGTTCTTAGTTCTGAGGACAAGCTAGGCTCGCCCTTGTGACTAAGCAAGTCAGCCTTCAGGAACAACTCTCTGCTACTTAGACACATTTTGATCAGGACAGACAGATACAACCCCCGACCCCACCCTACCTCACCCCAGTCAATCATACCAGGAAGGAAACAAGGCTTTAAAAACAAGCAATTAACTAGAGAGCTTCTTCTGAGATGAAGGAAAGCCTGGATAGGTGAGGAAATTCTAGTTTGCTTCTTGCAGATTCTATCGATTGCATTTGGACAGAGAAGGGAAACCAGGAAGAATTTATGCTTGTAAATAAGTCGCGAACAGGTTTCTCTTACCTGAAGGCCCAATATTGCGGTGACTTGGGTGACAGTGTCAGGTGTTTTCTGGACCAGGTATTTCCTCGGCTGTTCCCCAACCAAACGTCATAACCACTATCGGCCAGAAGAAAAGCCAGGCTGTTGTTGGGCAGGTTGCAAATCCAGTTATCGGCGGATGCAGCTAAGCCATGCTGCAGATATACAACTGCCTTCGGAACTGGAAAACAGAGAACAAGGGTTTCCTCCTTGATCCCCTCAATCTTCTTGCAAACTCTGCTTTCTGACATACTCACACATAAGCAAAGGTAAGAGATGAGATTTTGCTCCGGGTAAGCCTGGCCTTTTAGGGATTCAGTCCTTTAGAGACTCTTTACCTGGGGCACATAATTATAGCCTACTTTCTTCATTTATGAGATGAGGAGTATGTATAGTGTATTATGTCACATAGGGGTTTATTAGAGCCAGACTTTTCTGGTTCAAAATCTATCTTGCTATGTATGTATATATGTGCTCCTTGTTATTTATATAGTGGTAAATAATATCAAATGTTCTCTCATAGGGAAGGTTTAAGAGTTCAATTAAAAATAAAACATGTAAAAGATTTTACAGCAAAATAAATGCTAACTCTACTACTGATTTCATTCATATTATTTTATTTCTTAAGAAGCATCTTATTGGAGGCTACAGAGATGTTTCAGTATTAGAGCATTGGTTGCTTTTGCAGAGGACCCAGGATTTGACTCCAAGCATGCACAAAGACAGATCACAAACATGTAACTCTAGGACCAAGGGATCTGACACTATCTTCTGGCCTCTAGAAGCAGCGGTCACACACATGGTACATGGACATATACACAGGCAAAATATTCATATATAAAAATTAAATTAATTAAATTGAAAATGTAAATAAAAAATAAATAAAATAAATAAAAAATTGAATTTATTTGAATTTTGAATGCTATTAAAGCTAAGGAAAAATTTCAGGATTGACAGACTTGGGAGACAAACTGAAAGATTTTGAGGACTGACTGCATTTAGGATGCCAGGGAGAGGATGAGGTCAAGGATGACTCTTGAGTTTCTAAACTATAGAGGTATTATTGTGATGAGGGCTTATTTCATTTTATTATTTTTTTATGGGGGACAAAGACATGGAGAAAGGAAAGTCCAAATAGTCAATATATATTAAAATGGCAAAAATTTTTAAGGAGTTTTGTAAATTAAATGGAGGTGGAGATGAATTTTCTCTGATAAAAGGACCATGATCTATCTTGAGCAAAGGCATCCTGCTACTGCCAGGGTAGTTAGATGTTTCTATTTCAGGCATTTTGATTTCAAAGCAAAATAAATCATACCTGTGTTCCTTGAGCATCCTTTCCCATGAGGAATTCGGTAAGTTCCAAGAATATAACCATCCTCTGTTACAACATCATGCATTTCATAAGGATAGCCCCAGTAAGAAATAATTTCACTCTGAAAAATACATACCTACAATTCAGTTTGCTTTTTATGTGTACACTACAATATAGTTCTTTCACTAACATATGCATTAGGCAACAGCATATAGCAGGAGAAATTATAGCAACTTGGGAAATGTATCAGGAAGGGACTGAATGCAAAGGGGTAATATATAGTTGGAATGACTCCACATTTAGCATCTTCAGGATAGTGTATAAACATGCCTGTGGGCTTAGTGTTTACCAACCTCATAGTTCATTCTTAAGATGTGTTGGCAACAAAAAATAGAAATACTTGGCTAATGAGGGAAACCACAAGAGATTGGAAAGTATACTGTGGCTGATGATAAGTGAGCTTCTACAAATTTGGCTCCAAAGAGATATAAGAGGAAGTGGTTATTAGAGGCTAGGTAGAGAAAGGAAAGGAACACAGCAAAGGAGATAGATGACTAACTAAATAGAGCAAGGGCAATTACAAAAGGAAAGCAAACAAACAAAAACCCCTTGATTTCCCTCTTCTCTCTCTCACACACACACATATACATATATATATATATATATATATATATATGAAACATCTGACAGAGCTTTAGATATAGTCCCTATAGGCCTTCTGGATAGGAAGAAAAGCATAAAGAAATACAAGATGAGTTAGAAGGCCATCAGAAACTTCTCTATCCACAGACATGCATGGAAGCAGAAGCAAATGTTACAGGATATAAGCTTGCTCTACTTCATCAATTCTGTGAAGAAGTCTTTGTGATAGAACTGTAAATATTTTAGAATTGAGAATACTGAAGATCAGCACAATTAGTAATTTATCCAAGATAATACATTAGGAAGAGGTAAATAATTTATCAATGAGAGAGTAAGGTTAGCTGCACAGTCTATACCATTATCACAAAGTTTCACATTTGCTCATGTGAGGTACACAGTGGATGCTTGAGTTATGATGTTACTCAGAATAGTGTTGAGGGCCTAGGCTCTAAAGACAGACTGTATGGCACGGTGTGTCTGTGTTCTACTGATTAGACCACTAACACAAAGCACAGAGTAGACATGTGTCATCTGCCTTTCCTACATAGCAAGAAGTCCACTGATGATATGAAATTATTTGGACATAAACCAAACCTGACTTATTAAACCCCCAAAGTACATTGATGTACCTCACAAAATCATGGAGGCGGATTACACAAAGCCTCAGAAAGAATTCAAGGATATGTGACAGGGAATTATCAAAATTAATCTTGAACTTCTTCTTTAGAAAGCCACAGCTAAGTAAGAGCTCGGATCACCAGGATTGTTGCTACAATGTGAGATTGAGCTTTCAATTCTAAGATGAGTTAGTTTTGGGAAGGATCAAAAGAAGATGTTCAGATTTAGTCATTAGAGAAACTCTCGATACACAAATTATACCTAAAATGTGACTAATTTCTTATTTTTCTCAATGAATGACTTACAGTGTTCATACTGGCTTCGGGATTTGTGATGCCCCCTTGCTTATAGCCATGTATGGGTCCAGGAAGAAGCATACAACATGTTGTTGCTAAAAGCCACCACATTGGAGCCTGCCTGGGAAAGGAAATATTAATGCAACATCATCAAGGAGAAATCTTGCAAAAGGAAAATTGGTGTGATTTTTTTAAAAATAGCATTTCTGAGGAATCAAGTAGAAACATAAACTTCTAGGCTGTATTTTTACAAGCAATACACTGAGTTATTAAGGATTCATTCCATGAAAATCTTTAAATGGTGGCCTTGGATAAGAAAAGAATGAAGTAGAGAACAAAGGAGGGAAGGAAGGAAAAAAGTATAAGAAAAACAAGTTGAGTTCAGTAGGGAATTACATAAAGGAAATGATGGATAGTTGAAGAAAACTATAGTGACTAATATGTTGCTCACACAACATTGACCATTTTTAAAGAGTTATATAAATTGTTTTTGTTTTATCTTCTTATGGAGCCATGTGGCATGCATCTCTCCCACTGAGCTATATATAACCCTGGCCCTATTAGATTGCATTATATTTTCCCACTTTCCTGAATGTAGGACTGAGCCTTAAAAAAATCTTTAAAAAATAAGGTCACCAACTCATTTTATCCTTTAAAAGCATTTTAGTCTTTCACTCAGTAATTTTATTTACAAAAAATAAAACTAAAAAAGATAAGGCATATGTGTTCCACGCATTAAATATTCTTTACGGTGTATCCAATGTGATTTTTGTGATTTGTAATTTCACAAATACAAGATTAGCAAAACTCATTATTAATAAAGAAGAGTAAAGTTATTTAGCCGTAAAAATATGTTTAAAAGTCAATTTCAAGTTTATTGAAGATCTTAATGTAAGTTCTGAACTTTGAAATGGCCAGAAACAAGCACTTTAAGATACAGGAATTGATAAGAACTTTCCGGAAAAAAAAAGCTTCAATTCCCAGGAAATGAAACTAAAAACTTCTAAAAGTCAAGGAAATAGAGGAGAAGAGCAGCCCACAGAATGGGAGGAACTCTGTCTGCTGTACATCCAACAAGGGACCAGCATTCAGAATATATAAAGAACTCAAAAAATAAACACCAATCTCTCCCAAATAATTCAATGAATGAAACAAGTGAGTTTTTCAGACAGTTCTCTTAAAAAAAACCCAATAAATATCTAGAATGATGCTCAATATCCTTAGTTATTGGGGAAATAAAAATCAAAATGACATATGGGTTCCATGCCAGCTGAGCCAAAATGGGCATCACTGAGGAAACACCTGAAGGTAAATGCTGGTACGGATTCAGGGGAAAGGAAAACTCAGTGGGACTGCCCATCAATTTAGCCACTGTGAGATTTCTATAGAGATTCCTTTAAAAACTAAATCTAGGACCACCATAGGGGGCCAGTGAGATGGCTTAGTGCCCAGCCTGACAACCTAAGTTCATTCCTGTGGTTCTTACTGGAGGGCAGATGGAGGTTGATTACAGGAACACAGGCTGTTTATAAGCAGCTACAGCATTAAACCTGTGTCTTCCCGCAATCATTAACCACCTGTTCTTAGGGTCCTGCGGAGCCTCTCTGCATCTTGTGTATTGACTCCTGATCCACTTGTGACCCTCTCATGCACCCCTTTACCCCTCCCCTCATGAGTTCCTTGTATGTGATCTCTTGAGCCCCCTATGACTTAAACAGAACTGCCTGGGCTTTTTTTTAACTCCTTGTGTGCCACCCTCTACGCCCTTCATGAACTCCAACCCCTGACCCCTGAACTTTGCCTTACTTTTCCTTTCACATGGGAATATGAGAGTCTCTGTGGAAACCAAAGCTGCCCTAATTTGAAGAGAATAATCACCATACCATGCTGGATAACAGTGTTCTACAAAATATACATATATATTATATATACAAATATGATATATATAGTTATATTACATATAACTATATATAACTATATAGGTATATAACTATTATATATTATAGAACCATATAACTTGAGACATATATATATATATGTAGTTACATATTATATATATAATATGTAACTATGTAACTTGATGATGTGCATACCACGAGCCTGATTTTCTTGATAACCATAACATATAATGTTCAAGCTAGGCAACATCCACAATCAATATACTATCTAAGTTTGTTTAATCTATTATTCCACTATTTTATTTGTTCTTAACATTTTATTTTTTACATTATGCCACTTAGTCATATTATAACTAATTTTATAGGGACTGAAAATGGAACACAGCTAGTTTAGCATTTCTTTTTTTATCAATTCATTTTCTCTAAAAATGCCTGTGTAATAAAGGAAAAGGTAAAATGAAGTATGGATTGCCAAATCAGAACTTCATCGTTCACAGATCGCTTTAAGTGGAGTCTCTCATCATTATGGAGGCAGCTGCAATTGTCTTATTTGAATCTGACTGGACAAAACAGGTCAAGACTGTAACATCCTGTAATAGCATAAGACTCTCCTACTGCCCAAAGATATCCTTTCACTAATAAAAGCTCTTTGTTTTCTTCTCTATTTGCTATAGCTGGAGAATGGAGAAACTTGCAAAAGAATCACTGTCTCCTGAATTTTTGGTTTTCATTTTATATAAATGCTGGTAGATTATATGTAGGCAGCTCTCATAACAAAACATTTAGTACTGGCATAGGTATACAGAGATGATGGGAATGAGGACAATCACTTAAGAAAAACAGATCAGAAGCAATAAAGACTCAGGTTTCTGTGTTTTATTTCTCTATGATCAGAACTGTTGGGCTTATTAACTAGATGTTTAAGCAGGGCTTATGAAAAAATCTTGGATAATATCCTTGACTAATCCATGCCCTAATTTCCCATAAGGGAACTCTCAAAGTGTTCAAAAGTGGAGATGAAACTGGCAAAAAAACTATGTGGAGACTGAATCCTGCAGAATGGTCTTAGATTGGAAAGCACACAAAGATGAGTATCTACACATGCTGCTCTGATCAACCTGCTTTCTCAGTGGCAAAGGAAGCTAATGACGAATTTTACACAAGCTTGGGGTTAAAGGTCTGGCTGTTTTTTTTTTTTTCCAATGGCCATGGCAGCCTACAAGTTTTAGATCTCAGACTTCAACTTCAGAGAGCAGGAATGAACATTAGACGTGGCTCCCCGTGCTCTCAGCCCATTCCTGTGGTCACATCGGTTACATGCCTAAGGTAGGATGTGTTGGCTTTTCTCTATTATTAGCTCTGTTACTCTTACAGTCAATTTAACTCCTTTGTCTGTGTCATCAGAATCCTAACTAACACCTACATGTAGATTTAACTTAAGATAATGCATCGTGTTGTAATACACAGATGAAAGACAGTATCTAGAAAACATTGAACAATGCTTGGCTCTCAACGGGGGTCACTATTGTTATATGACTCAGTGACTCTTTCAGTTGTGTGTATCTTGGCTCTTCAGTTACTTCATTGGCTTCTTAAGGAAGTATCACTTTTCATACCAGTATAGTTTTTTTTTTCTGTCGATGTGACAAACAACAGGATTAAAAACAACTTGAGGGAAGAAAATATTTACTTGCTTTATACTTCCTGGTCACATTTCATCACTTATGGTATTCAGGACCAGAGTTCAAACAGGAGTTTTATAAAGAAACCAAAGGATAATGCTTGCTTATTCATTCAATCTTATGCTTAGCTACCTTCCCTCCTTCCTTCCTTCCTTCCTTCCTTCCTTCCTTCCTTCCTTCCTTCCTTCC